TTTGTTTTTTTTTTATTCACCTGCCTCTATGTTAAAAAAAAAAAAATGATTCTTATAATTTTTACCGATGTGAAGAAATCTAACCGTTTATATCTTATAATAAATATTTTATGCGGTATATCTTCATATGAGAAGTATGGTTCTTTCTGTGAAACTAAAATTTGATATGTTTATGATTTTCTTTGGATCATATATCGAAATTTAAATTTATTATATTTACATATAATGGCGTATAAACGTTGATCTTGAGCGGGTTTAACATTTCTTCGTGCTAGGGTTTGTTTGGGGTAGCTGTAATTTATCCAGCTTCTGTTGATAAGTAGTTGATTCTGATAATCTGCTGATGAGCAGTTGATCTGAATGAGCTTGCTGGCTGTTTGGTTTGTGCGTTTTGAAAACAGTTTATTCTAAATAAATGATCATTCTGCTCTTTTACTGTATAAATTGTTTAGTTCTTTGGTTTTTGCGTTTTGTAAACAGTTGGTTTGCAGTTTTTTGTTGATAAAATGTCATTCAAATGAGCAGTTGATCTGAATGAGCTTGCTGGCTGTTTGGTTTGTGCGTTTTGAAAACAGTTTATTCTAAATAAATGATCATTCTGCTCTTTTACTGTATAAATTGTTTAGTTCTTTGGTTTTTGCGTTTTGTAAACAGTTGGTTTGCAGTTTTTTGTTGATAAAATGTCATTCAAACATTATTAATTTTAATTTTTTAAAAATTATTTTTAAATTATGTGTAATATAAATTGTAATTAATAATTTATATTTTATATTAATTTTAAAATTTATAACTTCAATAACCAAACGCTCGTAACATAAATCAACTGAAGCTGTTTGGAATAAAACTTCAATATTACAACCAAATCAATTTATTTTTATTATTCAATTATAATTATAATTATTTAATTTTTTAAAAGTAAGAAATTATGAAGATTAATTGAGCAAAATATAATTAAAATAATATATATTTTTTGTTTTACTTTTGACAGGAAATAAAAATTTAGGATTTTAAAATAAAATTATAAGGGGATTTACATGCATAACTTATCTTTAAAAAACAGCAAAAAAAAAAAAAATCTTTAAAATCCTCAAAAACTAATGGAAGAAGGAGAAGGACGAAGGTTACCTTCCTCGCTGATTTTTGGGTAGGATTGGACGAAGATTACCTTCCTCGCTGGATGGAAGAAGGAGAAGGACGAATGTTACCTTCCTCGCCCGGATGAGAGCGACGGAGGATGTGTAGGATGGGAGAGACTGGCTTTCGGCGACGGAGAGCAACGAACGACTTCGAAGGCTTCGAATGGCTTTCAAGCAGCGAAGGAGAGCAACGGCTTCGAAGGCTTTCAGGGCAGCGAAGGAGAGCGAAGGTTCGGGGTGAAAGCTAGGTTTTGTCGTGAGAGAGGGGTAGAGGCGGAAAACGACGAACGAAAACTCGGATCGCGGGTATAACCCTTAGGATTGGACGAAGATTACCTTCCTCGCTGGATGGAAGAAGGAGAAGGACGAATGTTACCTTCCTCGCCCGGATGAGAGCGACGGAGGATGTGTAGGATGGGAGAGACTGGCTTTCGGCGACGGAGAGCAACGAACGACTTCGAAGGCTTCGAATGGCTTTCAAGCAGCGAAGGAGAGCAACGACTTCGAATGGCTTTCAGGGCAGCGAAGGAGAGCGAAGGGCAATCTGCGTGTAATAAAAAAAAGTAAATGCAGTTTTCAAATAATTTGTCCAGATGTGCGAAACAAACATATAGACAACATTTTCAAAACGTCGCCGCACTTATAAGCTGCCCCAAACGGGCCCTTAGACTCATTTAATTTTTTCATCACTAAGAAAATGTTTGTGTTTGAAATTGTTCGTGAATACGGTATTTGTGTTCGGCTCGAATATGTTTGAAATGGGCTTGCGTTGTTCGGCTTGATAAAGTTGACAAGTGAATTTTTATCAGATTATTTCTTGAAGATGAATATTTTTAATCCAAGGGCTTCAACTTATTCGTAATAGTAATTCAAATTTTTACTGAGTCATAAGCATATATTATCTAATTTGTTATAGTTAGACATTTACTTGTTAGGGTTGGTTATCATAATTTAAAAATACATTTGATTTATTTGAAAGTGTACGTTTGATTAATTCTTTTTTTTTTTTCAAATAATTATTAATTTACTTTGTGTTTATTGAACGAGTTTATTGAACGAGTAGGAGAATTGTTCTCAAACTAAGCCTACATGTGAAGAATTGAAGAATCAAAAGGTGAATTTATGTTTTGATTTTGAGTAGAAGAGATTTTTATTTAATAATACATTTATTAATTAAATAGATTGCCGCGTAATTTGAGTTAGAAATATTTATTGAAATTATTTTTTTTTGTAATGATGATTATTTATAATTTTCTAAAAAAATTATTTTTATTTGTATTTTGTTTATAAACAAATTTTGAACTTCTTAATGACAAACTATTCTTGCTTAAATGACCTAATGAGCTTTTATGATTAATATAAACATGTAATTATGCTGATCGAATTGCTTGCTCTTGCCTCATGCTCATTGTAAATCAATATTTTTTTTGGGGGAAATGTTGAGCACTATTTCTTCATTCTGTAGTTTTCTTCTGCTGAGATTTTTATAAATATAATTGCACATGTTTTGATGCACATTTGAAAATTACATGATAAATAAGTTAATAACATTCTTACATGTCCTAATCAATCAGTTGAAGCATTGCTATTATTGATTGATTATAACAGGTTAGGATGTTGATAACTTATCTATCATGTAAACTTCAAAAGCAGCAAAACATATGCAATTCTTTTATAAAAATTTAAGCAAATGAAAACTACAAAAAAAAGAAAAGAAATAGTGTTCAACATTCTTAACTTATCTATCATGTAAACTTCAAAAGCAGCAAAGCATATGCAATTCTTTTATAAAAATTTCAGCAAATGAAAACTATAAAAAAAAGAAAAGAAATAGTGTTCAACATTCCCCCCTAAAAATATTACTCCACTATGAGGAAGAGACTAGAGCAAAAAATTTGACCAGCTTAATTTGTTAGAAAAACTCAAATCAGTGCTCCTATAACTATTGAAATAAGATAACTCGACAAAGAAATCTAAAGTAAATATATGAACATTGCTAATATATAATACATCTCATTGCTTTTAATTGATTCATCATAATATATAAACTTAAAAAAAGTACTCATATAACTATTCAAACAAAATTAACCAACAAAAAAATCTAAATAAAAACAGATGAGCGTTGCTCATATATTTTTCACCCCATTGCTTCTGCTGATTGATCATGACATGTAAGAATAATGCTAACTTTTAAATGTCTAGCAAATCATTTGCAATTCTATTTATAAAAGTCGCACATAAACTCAAAAAAAAGTAAACATTGCCCAACATTCTAAGCAAATCGGGCAGCATAAATTGTTAGAAGAATCGAAAATTAGTCCTTATATAATTACGATATAAAATAAACCAATAAAGATATTTGAAACAAATAGATGAGCGTTGCTCGCATATATTTCAACTGATTGCTTCTGTCGACGATCAGGACAGGTAAATTTGCTGTTAACTTATCTATGATACAACTTTCAAAATTGCAACAAATCATAAACAATTTTATTTATGAAAGTATCAAATAAACTTAAAAAAATAAGCAGTGCATAACATTCTCCTTCTAAAATATTAATCCACACTAAGCAAGAAGCAATAACAAACAATTAAGATAGCATAAATTGTCAGAAAAATCAAAAACAAGTACTCACATATCAATCTAAAAAAACAAAACCAACAAAAAAAAAATATAAAACAAACATATGAGCATTGCTCATATGTATTTCATCATATTGCTTCTATTTATTTATCAGAATAGGTAAAGATGTTGTTATAATCTATCTCACAAATCTTAATTTTGCATCAAAACATATGCAATATGTAGAACACCAAAATTTTCATGGAGAAAACAAGAAATAAAAAGGTTGGCAACAAATGAAGCAAAAAAATAAAATAAAATAAAAAATAAATAAATAAACCATGGATGAGAAAATTTCACCAGAAAGTTTGCAGCAAGTTGTTGGCGCCGAACTGAGGAAGGGGAGTGGAACCAAGTTTCAGCCCTAACAATACATGTGAGAAAGGAGTGGAGAGGATATATACGAGGATATGAAGTGAGATTACCCGAAATCTGAAGGGCTAGCGACATCAAAGGCACTTCACAACCAAGCTCCAGCCAAGGACACCACCCTCCCATCCGTTTCTGCATTCGACTCAATGTGACATCCAACTCACTGGCAAAAAAAGAGGAACCAAAAGCTTCTCCAATACGTAAAAGTCACACAAAGGTCGCACCAGCTGGTCTCAAATGAGAAAAATTATTGCATCAGTACACTTAGTGTAAAATTGCGTTAGGTGTCCAATTAAAATTAATCATGTGTTAGTACGAGTCTTATATTTTTTTAAAAATAATCAATTTATATATTTTAATGAGGTCCACATTTTGACGTGACCAATTCTAATTGAAAATGTAACATAAATTTGTGTTAGAATTGACCCGATGCAATAATTTCTGCTTAAACAGGCCCTAAGAGAAGCAATTGAGTCCATTTAAACATTAGGACGCAGCACACCCAAAATCTTCTTCTCCTCCCGATCAAAGCGAGCGCGCGAGCGCGCGAGCGTGATGCTTCGCCTCTCTTCCACTCTACTAAAACGCAGAATCCCCAAAGGGTTCCTCTCATCTCCCGCTCTCGAAGGTAATATCTCTTCTGCCTCCTCTCGCCGGCGAGACGCCTGCTGTATACCCGTCGACGGAGTTTCGGCTTCCAGTCAACACTCCTTCCATTCTCCATCCTCCTCAAGCCCTAGCCTCTCTATATGGAGGAGGAAGAAGGAGATGGGGAAGGAGGGCCTCTTCGTCATCCACCAACTCAAGCGACTAGGATCTGGCCCTCGGCTCGACCAGTTTATGAGGACTCATGTTTCTCGGCTTCTCAGGACCGACCTCCTTGCGGTGCTCGCCGAGCTCCAGCGCCAGGACAACATTCCCCTATCAATGAAGGTGAATTCCAAATTTCATCAACCATGACAACATTGATTTTCATACATACTAACCAATTCCTATGTATTTACATATCTAAGACCTAAAGGTTACTTTTTGTACATTGGTACCACCTAAGATCTTTCATGTCACATTAAACATATCACTATTTAACTTTTTAAAAGTTAAATACAACTTTTTCATGAATAGAGAAGGTGACATATATGTTAAAATTAGAATTTAGGTGTTAGATATGTAAATACATAGAAATTAAGTTGTATGTATGTAAATGTATCTAATTCATAGGGGGTGTTTAGCTGCATGGTCTGATTCATGTTAAGTAGGATTTATCAAATCCGGATTTCTGGAGAACTCATAACTTGAGCGAAAGTTGCAAGCAACGGTAGGGATTTGGTAAATCTGAATTTACAGACAGAACGATTGTAGAGAAGACAGAACATGAATAAATTCGGATTGACGGAGAGTTGGATTTCGTTTTCTTTTTTTTTTTTGCGTTTGACTGGATTTGAGTTAAATTCATGACTAAATCCTGTTAAAAGTGTGCTACCATACACTCCCTTAATGAATGGCTGAGATCATGAAAGCCTTACTTCATCCCAATGAAGAGATTGCAATGTTTAATTTCTTATGATCTTAGTAATGCGTAGCTGCAGCTTTAAGGGGTTGTTTGGTTGCTTGTTTTAGCTTTGGTTATATCTTCCTGTATTGTTTATTGTGCCACATAAATTTTAATATTTTCTTAAATCTTGTTTTTTTCTTGCAGATAAGATAGTGTTCATGAAAAAAAAAAAAAAATAACTTGAATTATGGAGATCTATTTTAGCGTCTAAAGGTTTTTGTTTGAGTAGATCTAGAACTAAATACATAGAATGTAATTTTAGTAGTAGTGGCAGAGTTGTAATAATGGGTGATCAAATCATTAAAAGGAGTGAATGTTTTAGATATCTCGAGTCTATTGTTCAAACTGATTGTGACATAGACGGCGATGTTATTAGTAGAATTCAAATTGGATGGTTGAAGTAGAGGAATGCATCGGGCCTATTGTGTGATAGAAAAGTACCGCTTAGACTTAAAGGAAAATTTTATAAGTTGATGGTGAGACTCGCAATGCTTTATGATGCAGAATGTTAGCCTATAAAAGAGAAACATAAAACTAAGTTGTGTGTTGCTGAGATGAAAACACTTAGGTGGGCGAGTGACTTTACACTTATAGACAAAATGCAAAACAAATATATTCATGAAAGGGTTGGTGTAGCTCCATTGGCAGACAATGTTAGAGAGATTCATTTTAGATGATTTGGTCATTTTAAACATTGATCATCTGGTTATTTGCTTGGGAGAGATGTTTTAGATTTGACTTATGTTAAGAAAGGTAGAGGTAGACCTAAAAATATTTGGGCATCCATCTTAATTTATTAGAATTAAATGAAATTATGACACTCAACAGGACACAATGGAGAAAAAAATTCATCCACCCGACCCTACTTAATGGGGGGTAAAGGCTTGTTGTTGTTGTTTTCTTTTTGGTTTATGATCTATCCTAGGTTTAATAAGTTCTGGAGAAGTAGGATTGAAGAAATATATATTTCTCATTTAGACTCTTCATCTCCTTCATTTAAATCTTTAAATTTGACAATATCTGATATTTTTTTTTTGTGCTAAATATGAAATTACAAGATTTACTAAATTTTACATCTAGCCTAACTGTTGCTTAATGATTGGACTCTCCTATGAGAAGGTATTTCATGATGGCAGTTAAATCAATGTCCATAACAAAAATTATGAGCTTTAATTACTACATAAAGCTCGGTAGAAAATAACATATTTATAAGACTTGATCGGGATTACAGTATGGATTAGATGAAATCAAAGAATGATGCCCTTATCTTTGAGAAATAATTTTAACCCAATTGATGTGTTAAGTATGGAAACATCTTACATAAAACTATGATCATTTGGTTAAGATATGTAGGCTTATTAGTGTTATTTTATTCTTTTTCGCCTTCTAGGGGTTGGATATATTTGATTTACTTAAACTTTTACCGTATTTTTTTGATATAATTATGATAATTTTCTAACTGAACTTTATTTTAGAGGAGTTTTATTGATGCTAGATTAATTACTTAAGGTTTTTCATTAACTTGATAGAATTAGATAGATAAAATGGTGATTTTGAATGTAAAGTATAATGAGAAATTGAATCTTTTGGCATGTGTTAGTCTCTTGAGAGCTTTGTGAAAGGTATCCTTGTCTCAAGTGTTGAGGTTGCAAACTCATGTGAAGGATCGTAATTCGTGTAGGTATTGGTAAAAACTCAACACATAAGACGCTAAATTATGCGATTCAAATTAGGGTGTAAACGAGCCAAACTTGAGCAAGACTAGTGCTTGTTTGTGTTCGGTTCGTTCTAGTATTTTTTGTTTGTAATAGGCTCTTGTTTGAAATTGCCCGTGAATACCATGCTCATGTTTAACAAAAACAACAACAATAACAACAACAACAACAGCAACAAGAAGCTTTTATCTCACTAAGTGTGGTTGGCCGCATAATCTTTTTTCTTCATTATATCATATTGAGTGTACACAATAGGACTCGATTACTTAGCGAGCCGAACACAAGTTATTTGCAAACGACGGGTTTTTTTTTATGATCCCAGACTCAACGAGATTAACTCGCATAAGCACAAAGACACTGAATTTTAAATGAACTGCTAACCATGGATGATAATTAATGCTTTGCAAAGCCTTAGTGTCTATGTGGTGATTATTTGATAGAGCATTCAATTTTCTTAAGCCGCAACTCACCCTCACCCTTTTTCAATAAACCCCAAACGAAATGATATTTAAGCTTGATTTGCATTCCCCTCAAGTGAAATGCTTAGCTATTGGCTATATATGTAAGGGCTCTACTCTTGCTAGAAAAATCTCAGTTATTTATATATTTTTTTTTATTTTCGAACTCTTTCAAGAATTTCTATAGCTGAACATTTGTTTTTTTATGCGTTTTAATTGTAAAAACATCACCATCATCTATAGCACAGTTGACCTTATGGTGGTGGTGCTCGAATTGTTAAGCACATTAGGGGTGGCTGAAGGCTCGTATAATAGCCTCTCACCATTCATTTTAAACTATATATATATATATACATACATACATACATACATACATACATACATACATACATACAAGAGAATATTGTTTGTAATATATTCGGGTGGAGGGGGGCACTGTTGGGGTTTCGCACGATGGGCGATTCCTGACGGTGAAACTATCGGACTCAGATCTTCGTCGTCTAACATGACGACGTTTTCACGAATTTGTAAGCTCGAGTTTTGTCTTTCCAGCCCAACGACATCGTTTTTGTTCGCCTCAATCGAAGACGACGACGACGTCTTCTCTTATGTTTGCACGGCCTAGCCGATGACGCGCCTCCGACAGATGTTTCATCTTGCAGCGCACGCAGAAGACGACGTCGTCTTCGCCCCTAATCGAAGACGCGCCTATTTGCTCGCCTCCTGCACGACAAACGATTTCTTCCTCGACGACGCCTTCGCCTTGCCCGCCTTGCCCGACTGAATCGCCTCTGTGGCCCTAACCAACAGAAGGTCTCTCGTACTTGAAGAGTCCCTGTCGCCCTGCCCGATAGAATTTTCGTCTGCTCTCCTTTTTCTAGTAGCTGCCTGACTGTTCTGGTGATGGCCTCGACAATGCGTTCCCATGTTAATGCACTTGCCTGCGACTGTTCTATTTCTACTCGTGCTCCTCTTTCAGCTTCAGAGTCTGGTTTTCATATTGAGAAGTCCTGCAATGTTTCTTAATCTTTCCACGATGCTCTTGAAGGTGGTGGTGATCACACTTTCATTGAAAGCTTGAAAAAACAATAGGAAGTCTGCTCTTATTCTCACTGAGGATGAAACCAGTACTCTCGCATCCTCTTGGCGTTTTGCTCTAGTGGGGAAATTGTTTTATGGTCACCCAAAACTGGAGATCATTCGAAAAGAGTTTGATGCTATGAAGCTATTGGGCAGTTGAAATATTGGCTTACTTGACGATCGACATATACTTATTCAGTTATCTCATTACACCCATATTTTTTCTCGAAAAGTTATCAAGATCGACAACTGTTTTATCAAGATTGACAACCATTTTTTCTTCAAAAGTGGAGTCCCCTATCATTACTGTTTGAATAAATTTTCTGGGGTTAAAATTATATCTATTCAATTTGGAAATTCTCTACTCTTTAGCAACTGCTTACGATAAGCCTCTCAAGGTTGATGGTCTTACGCTTGCTGTCACCAGAACCTCTGTGACTTGTGTGTTAGTTGAGAGAGATATCACTCAACCAGCTCCGGATGAGGTATGGATTGACATCACTCACAACGGGTATTGACAAAAGGTTGAAATAGAACCACACGCTTCTTATTGCTCTCATTGTAGTATGTTTGACCACAGTTCTACTATTTGCTATCGCTTGCATCCTCATATAAGGCCGAATTTCACTAAAGATCAGTTATCTACCATCCTTGCTGAGAAGGTGCAACTCGATCCTCTTTCCAACACCTTAGTCCCAGATGAAGAACTCTATACTACAGGTACATATCCAAATGTGCTGATACCACTCACTGTTATTGAAGAAGACCCACTTATATGTCAAGACACATGAGAGTGCTCCTTCGATCCGATAAAAGATCAATTGGTACAACAAGTAGTTGTTTCTAATGTTTAAAAACCTACACTTGTCCGACACACTTCAGACCAATCCACGGATCAGATGAGTCAATCTTCGGATGAGGAATGACAAGTCTATTCCAGGAGGAAGAATAAAAATGGAGGCCGACTCGAGCTTGAGAATTTATTTGGATAATACATTGGTTACTATTGGCAATGTCACACATCTTACCAATTTATTAGCTTGCTCCTTCCTTATAACTGGAGACAGAGACAAGACAAAATTGTGTCGCTCTCTAGCTACCTGATACTCTGTATTTTAGCCTTTTTTTTCTTTAGGTCTCTCCTTTATTTTTTTGTATTTTCTCTTTTCAAGTTTTCCCTGAGGCTTGAAGTCCTATTTGGATCATCTTCCTTGAATCTTTGCAAAATAGCCCATAACCGCTCGTTCATAAAACGATGGTCTTGTGCCAAAGATGCTAGACATCAAAGGAAAATAGGAATCGGCTGGAGCTTCTAGAAGGGTGAGTCTCAATTCTAGTTTTCTAAGATGGTCCATAGGGATTTCTAGAGCTAGAACCTAGACTCTAAGGAGGAGAAGAAAAGACCTCACAAAAATGAGGTCAACAAACATGAGGTGGGACATGGCTAATGGGTGGCTTATGAAACACTAATATTTCTAACAAAATTAAAATATTCAAAGTAAACCAACTTAATAGGAATATAATAAAATAAACTATAAAAACAAATTAATAAAATAGTACTTATGCTTTTTGTATCACAACACATTAAACTTGAAGTTTAGATGTTAGATATGTCAATACATAGGAATCGAGTAGCATGTATGTAAATCTTCCTTATTCTTAATCTGCATTGTTTTCAAAACGCTCAGGTTCACCAGCATTAGAAAGCAATAAGTTGTATTAAGGAGAATAATATTTGGAAGCCTCAACATTATCAAAGGGTCTGTTTGGGATTACTTTTGTTTTAAAAACCTGTTTGTTAACTATTTTTAGCTCCTGCTTTATGTTTTCTATATAATGTCTTTTAGTTGCTTTTTCAATTGTATGTTATGTTTTTTTAATGGGGCATTTACATACGTACCATCCAATTCCTATGTATTTACATATCTAACACCTAAAGCTTACTTTTTTTGTATTTATACCACCCAAATCTTTCATATCACATAAAAAAATATCATTAGTTTAACTCTTAAGAATTGAAATACACCTTTTCATGCATAAGGTGGCAGATATGTAAAAATTAAATTTTAAGTTTTAGATATGTAAATACACCAGAATCAAGTGGTATGTATGTAAATTGATTGCGTTTCTTATCAATAAGAGCCAACAAGTGTTGCTTTGAGCGTAGTATAATGGTGGGAGTAGGCTTTTAGCTATGTCTGCTGTTGGTAACTTCCTGATATGGCACCAATAAATATTATAAAATATCTAACTGATAAAAAGACATTCAGAACTAGGGCTGTGTGTGAAAGCGGCTCGTTGTTCACGAACAGCTCGTGTTCGGCTCGTTCGCTCAGTTAACAAGTCGAACATGAACTTCGTGTTCGACTTGTTTTGACTCGAAATACTACTAATAAATTATATATATATATATTTGATGAGTATTATTTTTAAAAAATTTAATTGACTGCAAGGTTACAAAGATTTATAATCAATTAAAAGTATTAATGAAGAAAATAGAATAAAAATTAATAAATTAGATTCAAATGATGTTTTAAATCTTGCCCCAATCTTTAACATCTTATGGCTCCGTAATTAGGGTTGTTAAAATGACTCTTTGTACGTGAACGGCTCATGTTTGGCTTACTAAGAAAACGAGCCGAACAAAAAAACACACTTTTTTAGCTGAGTTCGGGCTCGCTTGTGTTCGGCTCGTTTACACTTCTATTCAGAACCACATGATTCCTTTCCATAATGTGTAATTTTATTTTATATTTGGATGATTTACATACATACCACTCGTTTCCTATGTAATTACACGTATAACACCCAAACTTCAAATTTTACATATATGTCACCTTACCTATGCATGAAAAGTTATATTTCACATTTTAAAAGTTAAAGTAGAGGTCTCTTTTGATATGATAAGAAAGATTTTAGTGGTATGAATATAAAAAATAAAATTTAGATGTAAATACCCCTTTATACCTCTCAATTCTTACATATTTACATATCTAACACTTAAACTTCAATTTTTTACATATATGCCATCCTATCCATGCATGAGAAGGTACATTTCACTTTCTAAATGTTAAAATAGAAGTTCTTTCGATGTTTTGAAGTTAGATATGTAAATACTTAGGAATTGTGACAAAAAAGGTTTCTATATTACACTTCTTATGTTGGAACAATATGCACTAGAGGACCTTCTTCTTCTCCTGCAGATATATGAAGCTGTAAGAAAAGAAATCTGGTACCACCCTGACATGTTCTTCTACCGAGAAATGCTCATCGTGCTCGCGAGAAACAAGAGAGAGATAGAAACCCGGCAGGTTTGGTCCGATCTACAAAGCGAAGCTGTGCGATTCGATCAGCACACTTACGGTGACATTGTGCGAGCCTTCGTCGATGGAGGTTTGCCCGAACTGGCCATGGAGTTTTATGAGGAGATGAGGAGCTCTCCTGACCCTCCCCTTCCTCTCCCCTTCAGAGTTATTCTGAAAGGTCTCATACCATTCCCTGTGCTCAGAGAGAAAGTAAGGGATGAGTTTCTGGAGCTTTTTCCAAACATTGTGGTGTATGATCCTCCTGAAGATTTCGACGAGGAGTAGAGGCGAAGATGGAGTTTTTTTCATTGAATTCATACGGTATTATGCAAAAATTAGTCATGCGGTTGTAGCATTACGTACACGCCACACATTTCTTACGTATTTATATATTTGACACCTAAAAATTCATATTTACATACATATCACTCACATATTTGACATCGTCACATCCAAAATATCATCATAATTATCTTTTTAAACGTTAAGTACATCTTTTCATGCTCAGCTTTTTGACACCAAGTGGTATAAGTGCAAATATCAAATTTGGTGTTAAATATAAAAACACATAAGAATATTGTTGTATGTATGTAAATTTCATGGTTATTGTATTTTTGGGGCATTTACATACACACCACACGTTTCTTATGTATTTGCACACACCACTCACGTGTTAGATGTTACATAAAAAATATCATTATCATTATCTTTCTAAGTATGAAATACACATTTTCATGCTTTGGTTTTTGACACCAAGTGATATCAGTGTAAATATTAAATTTGTGGGGTTAAATATGTAAATTTTATGGTTCTTGTATTTTTGGGGCGTTTATATACAGATCACACACTTCTTATGTATTTATATATCTCATGTAGTAAATATCACGCACTTGTTTGACATCAGATAAAAAATATCTTCTTTTTAAACGTAAAATACACATTTTCATGCTTAGGTTTCTCGCATCAGTGGCATAAGTGTAAACATTACATTTTATGGGTTAAATATGTATATACATAAAAATATTATGGTATGTATGTAAATTTCAGGGTTCTTACATTTTTGGACATTTACATACATACCATACATTTCTTATGTATTTACATTTATGATGCCTATGTGTACATGTTTATATGCACACCACTCACATGTTTGACATCACATCAAAAATATCATCATCATCATTATCTTTTTAAACTTGAAACACACATTTTCATGCTTAGATTTTTGACACCAAGTGGTATGAGTGTAAATATTAAATTTTGCGGGTTAAATATGTTAATACATAAGAATATTATGGTATGTATGTAAATTTCATGGTTCTTATATTTTTGAGGGCATTTACATACATACCACACATTTCTTATGTATTTACATATCCGACACCTATATGTTCATATTTGCGCATCAATCAAATGTTTGACATAACATCAAACATATGATCATGATCTTCTTAAATGTCAAATGCACATTGTCATGCTTGGGTTTTTGACACTAAGTGGTATAGCTGTAAGTATTAAATTTTGTGGGTAGAAGATGTAAATACATGAATATCGTGGTATGTATGTAAATTGAATGGTTCTTATATTTCTTGAGCATTTAGATACAAACCACACATTTCTTATGTATTTACATATCTGACATCTATAGGTTCATATTTACATGCACGACACTCACATATTTGCATCACATCATACATATGATAATCATTATCTTTTTAAACATGAAATACATATTTTCATGCTTAGGTTTTTTGACCCCAAATGGTATAAGTGTAAATATTATGGTATGTATGTAAATTTTAGGGTTCTTACATTTTTGGACATTTACATACATACCATACATTTCTTATGTATTTACATTTATGATGCCTATGTGTACATGTTTATATGCACACCACTCACATGTTTGACATCACTAAGTGGTATAAATGTAAATATTAAATTTATAATATATTAAATTACAAATACATAAGAATATTGTGATATTTATTATATTTTTGGTTCTTAATATTTTTGGGGCATGTAAATGCACCCCACTCACATATTTAACATTACATTAAAAATATCATCATCATCTATGTGAAATAAACATTTTCATGCTTAGATTTTTGACACCAATTGGTATAAGTGTAAATATCAAATTTTGGGATTCATACATGATACATGTACATACATAAGCATATTGCAATATGTTTGTAAATGTAAATTTCATGATTATGATATTTTAGGAGCATATATATACCTACCACACATTTCTTATTTTCTTACAAATCTAATACCTAAACATTCATATTTACATTCATGCCACTACATGTTTGACATCACATCAAAAATGTATTTAAGAAGATAATAGAATAATTTGGGATAGTTTTTCCACTGAACATTATTTTTAAAATGTGCAAAATTTTATTTTTATTTGCATAATTGCACGTCGGGATGAAAGTTTAGATAAACTATCGTGTGATTCTCGACAGTGTGGCCCTATCTGAATCATTGTCATTATATTTGATAATTTTTCCTCTTCCTCACCCGACAACAACATTAATAATAATAATAATAATAATAATAATAATAATAATAATAATAATAATAATAATAATAATAACTTTTGCGACCGAACGAGAATTGGAGCTTGTTTGATACGGACAACTAGGGGTGTAAACGAACCTGGCACGAACAAACAGAGCTTATGTTCATGTTTAGTTTGTTTGAAATTTAGTTTGTTTGAAATAAGCTTGTGTTCGAAATTGTTTGAGAAGTCATTGCTCGTGTTTGTTTCTTAACAAACTAGCCGAATACGAGCTGTTCGCAAACGACGAGTGAGTTTGATATCCCTAATATTAATATATATAAATAATATATTATATTAATTATATAAAT